AGAGAGAGAGAGAGAGAGAGAGAGAGAGAGAGAGAGAGAGAGAGAGAGAGAGAGAGATGAGAATTTTTATTAGAGCAATGATATGTGAGAGAGACAGAGACAAATGACAATTTTTATTAGAGCGATGATATGTGTGTGTGTGTGTGTGTGTGTGTGTGTGTGTGTGTGTGTGTGTGTGTGTGTGTGAGAGAGAGAGAGAGAGAGAGAGAGAGAGAGAGAGAGAGAGGCGTTGTCTGTTGCAACGATGATGTTTTCTTAGACCTCAGCAAACCATCCGCACTCTCTTTGATGTTAAGGATCATTCATCTGCCTGTAGTGCCGGGGCAGGGCAACATGTGAAAACACGGTGATGTTCTCCTCTGCATGGCTACAGATACTGATACACGTGGCTGTGGGCTTCTTGTCTCTGAGAGTCACTAGAATGCCAGAGGGGTTTTCTGCAGCCTGATGTGCAGTGCGCGTCCCCTCCTTTGCCAACTGTCGGCACCCTCCACGCCAGGGTATCACATGTCCATTTTTGAGGCCACAAACGTTATGAACGTGTTCTACTCTGTGATACCCATCCTCCTTTCATCCTGGACTTCAATCGACATTCCATTTGCCAGGAGTGTTTGTGGGCATGACTAAACACCCAGTACGCTTCCCGCTATTTTGTTTCAACATTCAACACGGCCGTATATGCGCCGCGTTTTGGGGGGCTTGGCCTACTGGATCTCTCTATAGCTGGTGGCGCTTGTGTAAACGGAACAATTTTGCGCCTCAACACTCGTCTTTCTTTTTTTTTTTTCTTTTTTTTTTTTTCCGCGGTGCATGCTCTTCAGCACAAATCTGGCTTGGGAAAGAGCAGCTCGGAAGTACTGGTGGTTTACTCAACTTCAATCATTTTCAATGTCATTCATGGTGGCAATTGTTGTGCTGATAATTCTTTGCCAAGGCTTTCCTTGTCGTCACCCAGCACTGGTCTCATCGGCGCAGTGAGTTGTCCGCTCTGTTGCTGAGTAGCGGTGAGTACGGACTAACACCTGACACCTGAGTCTTCTCTTATCCTCCCCTAAGGTGACTGGTTCACACTATATCTGCATGTATGTACATGACGATATGTAGTCCACCATCATCAAGAAAATCCCTGTACGGGACCACGGTCTGTTATTGACAGGGCTGAGCGAACCCCTCTTTATTTTTCCTCTAAGATCCATGATGGGGCTAAACAACCAGTGAGTCGGTGAAGTATCCGTAGTATTTCGTACACTGTTTGGGTGGTGTTTCCATTGTACAAGTGTCGATAGTACTGGACACCATTTCTTTCCTCGGTAATAAACTTTGACTCTTGTCGTTTTCTGTTTGCAGACTTCACTTCTGTGCATCATGTCCTAAAACACTTTGGTGAACTCATGATTTTTTTTGTAATCGCGTTGTTGCATGCAGGTGCTGAGCTATCTGAGTGGAATAACAAGTGAAAGTCAGGGCAACGTGTCCCGGAGCATGTTGAAGGAGAGGTATCAAACCACTTGTTAGACGACCACCTCTCCCTCACCCTCTGCCCCTTCTCTCACCACAAGGTCCAGCTGTCCGTTATTGGCGGGCAGTAAGACGTCAGTGTTGTGCATGTTTTCAGCTCTCTGGAGGGACTAACAAGCAAAACTCAGGGCAACATGTTATGGGGGGTGTTGAAGGAGAGGTAGCGAACATCGTCAACGCCACCTCTCCCTCCCCTTCACCTCCCTTGGGGTACCCCACGACAAAGTCTGGTTATCGCTTTTTGAGGGCAGGGCTGGTGAGATGGATGCCGGTCATTTGTTGCATGCATTGTTGGGTGAAGTGCATCGCAACGCTTAGTGCCCCGGCTGTTCAGACTTGGTCCTAGTGTGACTGTGCCCAGGCTGTTCTCTTGGTGTGACTGAAAGAAAGAAAGAAAAGGAAAAAAATCCGAAGTAGTTAAAAAAAAACTCCAAAAAAGTTGAAACTAGTGCCCCAGCTATTCAGACTTGGTCCGTGTGTGTGTGTATTAAAGATAAGTCGGATAACACAACTGAAGCAGCATGTCTGTTGTTCTTTTTTCTTTTTTTTTTTTTTTTTTTGGTAATCCGGACATCGGGACTTGCTCATCCATGACCTGAATCTCCGGGTCCGTATGTCTGGTAGTCCGGATCGGTGTGCAGATTACCGGACGTCTGGATTAATGCAGACATGGGTCCGGCGTCGGGATGTCCAGGTCCGGGGCAACCATGGTGCATACTTGCAAGGTTGCAAACTGTGTTCAATTATGAACAAATCTCTGAAGATAGGGTCAACATGCTTATGTGGGTTGTGTAAGGGACAGGAAGTCCTGGGACTGGGACTGGGACTGGGACTGGGACTGCAATATGGCACGGAGCACGGGTTTGTTCGTGACGAGCTCTTGTTGTTGTCGAGATTGCAATTCGATTTTAGGCAGAGGTCCCAGTCCCTGTACCAGCCCCACAAATGGAGGCCTGCAATGTCTTTTTCTTCATTTGTGCGCTATGCCCCTTCCGTGCCACTACCAAACTACGGGCATGCATGGTTTTTTTTTTTTTCATTTTTTTTTTTAAAGCGCCAAATTGCACCAATACCTCTGAGCCTTTTTGCCGAGGCAAATGCCCTCTGCATGCTGAAAAGAAAACTAACCAGCACGGAGGCATTTTCATTTTCTTTTGCCTGGTGAAAAAAAGATTCACGCTGCAGACACCCCAGTGCCGACCCCAGAGTCCCGAAGTGTCCCAGTCCCAGGCTGTCCGAGTAGGGTAGGCCGTAGGGTCCGTAGGCTGAAATGTCGTAGGTCTGTAGGTGTCGGTACCGAAGCGTCGTAGGGCGGTAGAAGTCATTTGGTACCCGACAAGAAAAGTCCAGTCCAGTCCAACAGTGACAAGTCCAGAAACTTGCAGCATGTCCCAGGAAAGTTCCAATGCTACTGGACTGACAAAATGTTTGCAGCAGATAGGCTGCAACCAACCGGTACCTGTCTGAAGCAGGCCAAGCCAAGGCAAACCAAGCCAAGCCAAGTCAAGCCAAGCCAAGTCCTATATTTAGCTGCTACAGTGCAGTGGCTCATCGCTTGCTCAGTTGCGATATGCGGAAGCGCTGCTGCTGCTTGTGCGTTAAGGCAGCTTGGCCACTTGGCACCTGAAGAAGAAGAGGGCGCATGAGAGTTACTCCGTAGCTCGGTCAGGGGTAGCGCAGGCGGAGGGCGGTCATAGCCGCCGAGGTGTAAACTTCCCTGAGTGGGTGTATCCGGGGTGACGATCGAGAGAGAGAGAGAGAGAGAGAGAGAGAGAGAGAGAGAGAGAGAGAGAGAGAGAGAGAGAGAGAGAGAGAGAGAGAGAGAGAGGCAGAGCGAGCCAAGTCACAGTGAGGAGCAAGACTAAGGGAGAGAGCGAGAGAAGAGAGAAGCCATAGCTGCTATCTGGTTGAGACCTGTTGTGTATGTGTGTGTGTGGGGCAGAGCCGCTGGAGACAAACTTTTTTGTATATGGATAATAATTTTGGAGACGACATCTTCATGTGTTGATTGTATCTCGATTTGGCTTCTCACGTGTGAGCTCTCATGTGAATGTTCATTGATGTATGCAAGGTTGAACTTGACAAGTACTTGGCTCCAATCACTGGCAGGGGTTGTCTTTTTCTTTTGCCGGGTGCTTCCAGACATTTTGGTGCGGGAGCACTGTTCGACTGAAGAACCAAGATTCTTGCATTTTCAATTCTCGAGTTCGCCTCGGCGAGGTACTGGTGGTTTAAACTGTGCAATGTTTACTACCCAAGCCAGGGGGAAAAAACTCCGGGTGAACCTCCGCTACGCGCCTCAGGCAAAATATATTCGCCGCAACTTTCGGGGCTCTACCGGACCAGATTTGGCTGGTGCCCCCGGCCGAAACAAATAAAAATTGCCCCCGTGCGAGGTTGTTTCTTGTTTGGCACGCAGCACAATCCGGGTTGGAAAATAACAGCCTCGGACGAAAAGAAGAAGGGGGTCGAAAGTGGTTGTTTATCATTTATGGGCTTACATAAATTATTAATATCAACACATCAACTGTGTCCTTTTTTTTCAAAAAAAATAAAATTCATTTGGATCATTTCTTGATCTGTGCCTGTCCTTCTTGGATATAAGGTTTCTCAAAGAAAAAAAAATCCATTTGGATCATTTCTTGATCTGTGCCTGTCCTTCTTGGATATGCGGGGGCTATGTTTGGAAGCGAGATGACCTGATAAAAATGCCTGGGAAATGTACTTTGTGCCAAGTTTGTGGTTTAAAATTGAATGGATGGCCGATGTACAATGGAGCGTAAGCGAACACACACATGAGCGAGATGAGTCATGACTCCATCTGGGTGCTCCCTTGACTCCTGTGCTCACCCAAATAGAATGCCCGGTCATTATGGGGTCCATCTGGACTAGAAGTTACCCCAAATACGGCTATGATGACCGGGCGGGTTCTATTCGGGTCCCTCGTGCAAATGCCAAGGAATATTGTAAGTATAACACACTTGATCTACTTTGTGGTTGCCTTGCAAACGTCTCTGCGACTAACAGGTTTAAAAATTTCAACTCTACATTTGAGTTATTGCACGCCACTCAATCGCAATGGATAATCCCTGATGGCGAATTACGAGAAGCTGTGCGGCTGGCCATAGCTGAGATCCTGGTTCCCGCATACCGCTCATTTCTGAAACGATATGGGTGAGTGTTTGATCCTTCAGCCTTGTGACATTTGCAAAGTGTTTACGGTCCCTTGGTATCGTGTTTGCAAAGGAGAGAGAGAGAGAGAGAGAGAGAGAGAGAGAGAGAGAGAGAGAGAGAGAGAGAGAGAGAGAGAGAGAGAGAGGGAGGGAGGGAGGTATACAATTTGCCCCCTTGAACCCTGTCATAAAGTTGATTGGGGGGCCCATTGAATTCGTCGCTGAAGAGCGATTCTGTCGAGTTGCACTGCATGTGTTGTGTGGGGAGAGGAGACTTCCCCAGCCCTGAATAGATTGAAGGATGAACGTACACAGGTCATGTCCCTGAGCGATACACATGTAATGATGTAACTGTTTATAAGCAAGCAGATCATGAGTTCGAATAGTGAGGGAATCAGGTGGCCGGAAAACAATTGAGAGTGGACATCTGCTGCTGAAACCAAAGCACGGACAGGACTCACAAGAGCTGCAATGGTGACGTGCAGAACAGTGGGCACTGTGTGTTGTCAGACCCCCCTTTCCCAACTGGGGGGGTCATTCTTTCGGCAATCATCGAGGCCGCTGTGCTAAATTGAGACCTCCCAATCTTTCCCCCGAGTGGATTGCACGTTCAATTTATCTGTATTTTGGTCAACTTTCAGTCTACGTACGCATTGTACGCTGTACAGTAATAACCGATGGGGCGTTCTATTTGGGTGAAGACAGTAGTTATATATTCTGTTTTTTTTTTTTTTTTTTTTCTAGGCTGGTCCCCGGGCCGCCCGGCGACCTGGGCGTCGCCCGGGGGGGGAGCCGGGCCGCCTGGCCGGTTGTCCCGCCCGGTTGGCCACCGGGCGACCGCAGTGCATCACAGAAGTGGGGGGGGTTTGTCGGATTTCGACGCCAGGGGGCTTTTTCACCCCACAGGAGGCCCTCCACGCCGAAAGAGGAAAGAAAACAGGGCCGTTAGGGGCGCTCCTTCTCGAATTCAAAATCTTGGCCCATATGCGCCGTCGATCTCCAAGATCGACGGCCCAGATGGGCCAAGATTTCAAATTCGAGAAGGCGGGAACTACCAGCCCTCGTCCACTTCCCGGTTACCCCTACCGCCCGACGGCTCCCTTCGACAATGTCGATCGTCGATAGCAGCTCTGCCAACACCGCCAACGCCCGCCGACGCCTGCCACCGCGCGTCACCCCAGTATCACGCCGAGGTAAGTGGGTTAGTAGTAGTAGGGGGGAGAGAGAGAGAGAGAGAGAGATCTTCTTCTTCTTCTTCTTCCTCTTCTTCGCTTCTTTTTCTTCTTCATCATTGCTTCTTCTTCTTCTTCTTCTTCTTCTTCTTCTTCTTCTTCTTCTTCTTCTTCTTCTCCTTCTCCTCCTCCTCCTTCTCCTTCTCCTTCTTCTCCTCCTTCTTCTCCTCCTCCTCCTCCTCCTCCTCCTCCTCCTCCTCCTTCTTCTTCTTCTCCTTCTCCTTCTCCTTCTCCTTCTTCTCCTTCTCCTCTTCGTCTCTTTGTCTCCTTCGTCTCCTTCTTCTTCTTCTTCTTCTTCTCTTCGTCTCTTCGTCGCCTTTGTCTCCTTCTTCTTCTTCTTCTTCTTCTTTCCTCTTCGTCTCTTCGTCTCTTCGTCTCCTTCTTCTTCTTCTTCTTCTTCTTCTTCTTCTTCTTTTTCTTCTTCTTCTTCTTCTTCTTCTTCTTCTTCTTCTTCTTCTTCTTCTGCTCCTCCTCCTCCTCCCCCTCCTTCGCATCTTCTTCTTCTTCTTCTTCTTCTTCTTCTTCTTCTTCTTCTTCTTCTTCTTCTTCTTGTTGCTCACCATTTCGTGCCCTCGCTGCCCGCCATCCACAACCACCACCGACTTCCCCGACCCTCCCCCGATCTCCTCCTGCAGCCTCCCCGCCCACTATTCACCCACCACCCACTCCCGGTCGCTCGGCACCCCCCCCCGCCCCCCGACTTTCCCCCGATCCCCTCATCTCCCCGTTCCCCCCACTTCTTACATCTGCACGATATCCCCCCACCCTTGATTTCCCCCTTCACGCCTGGTCCCCCTTGCCCCCCCCCCYCCCCCCCCCMAGYYCACTTTTTATTGCAGATTCGGGGTCCTCTAGGGTAGCGCGGCACAACCCCGCCTTCCCAAAAAAAAATAAAAAAATCCTTGCTGGGTTTTTGCGTCGCCCGGTTTTGCCGGGCGACGGCCCAGCCTAGTTTTTTTTGAAAACATGCCCTTATGGTCCTGGCTCCACATCCATTCTGGGGAGCGTCAGTCCGGTTCCTTTTTTTTTTTTTTTATATAAAAACAGAACCTTATGGCTCTGGCTCCTACCATTCCGGGGAGCAACAGTCCGGTTCCTTTTCCCCCGGCAAGTCAAAATGGAGAACATAAAAGATACGCACACGCTCCTCCCCATTATGGATGGGAGGCCCGAGAAGGCAGCATTGATTACTTCCATGAGGAAGGATATACCACCCCTCTCCCCTGCCTAAGTTATCCTATCTTACAACACCTATTCTAGCATAACGTTGGTCCGCTAAGTCTTTTCCTCTCAGGTCCTGTAAAGGCACCTGCCGGATGAGTCCTGAAAAGCAAGAAAAAACCCTTAGCTGTTGACGCTCATTCCGCTCCTTAAACCCTAAATCCTTTTAAAAACCCTAAACCCCCCTTGTTGAAAAATCTAAGGACACCTTTAGCTGTAGTACTTTGTCCCTGTGGCACCCTAACCCTATAAATCCCAGTTTAATATTCATCCGTTTAACCCTGCCCTTGGATGACTGCTACTGCTCCCTGCCCTACTATGTTCCATTTGAATGTGGTCATGATGTCTTTCTCGTGTTGTGGTTGTTGTTGCATCTGAGTTCTCACCCCTTTCCACTGAGCCTTGAGATGTGTTTCTATGAGTACAAGGAAATTCTCTCTCGCCTCCCGTTTATGCATTATTGTTCCTTCCATTGTGGCTTGACATCTACGCTTCCAAATGGTCCAAAGAGCATATTGACGTATTAACTGGAAAATATGTTTCTGGAAGGGTTTCCACTGCTTGGGAATCTTCTGACCTAGCAACAATGTGATCTTAGAATCCGGGAATGGACTGCGTACCATTTGGTGCCATATGTCTTTAGCTTCCTCCCACATTGCCGATGCTTCCTCACACTCCAATAAGCAATGCAACATTGTTTCTGGTATTCCTTGCTGGCATACGGTTCCTATTCACCTGGCAAGTCAAAAGATACACCATAGAACTTGCTCACGCTTCCTTCCGTCTGGCCGAAGGAACCCTGACCAGCATTGATTGCTCCTTATAGGAGGATTGCTGTCAGCTTGCCTTTCCCTGAACTCCCTCTCAGATTTCCCTCTGGAAACCTGTCAAATAGGATTTAATCAGCTAGGAGAACTAAGGAAAGAAAATGCTTCCACATGAAAATGAAGGTTGTTGATACTCCTTATGTAGCCTGTGAATCCTGTGGGCCCCCCATCGAGTGAGATATTGAGCTTCTCCCGCTGATCTCCGAGTTGTGCCAATTTTTCCATCGTAGGTTGGAGTCTCTTATCTCTGCTATTCCCCCCCCCCACCAGCCAGATCTTGACGAATTTGGAGAGGATACTGCGCTGTCGATCTTCATCTTCTGCCATGGAGAGTCTCATCTTGTGCCATCTGCATAGGATCTCTGCCTGGATCAGCGTCCTTGTCTCCACCCAAACCTTTTCTGTTGGAGTTGATAGTCCCTCAATGATTCTGCTGCCTCTCTCCTTCCAGATCGACGGAGCGTCACTTTTCTGATCATGCCATACCATATCTTCTCAGCGTTGTTGAAATCAGTAGGAATGTTAGTCCAGAGAAGAAGTTGGATGGGATGTTCAGGGAGGGGTGATGTGAAAAGGGAGTTCCAGAGGTCCGAGGCCCTGGCCCAATATTCCGTAGCTTCCTTGCAGCTAATTAAGCAGTGAATTATATCTTCTGGCTCGTTATCCGAGCAGACTGTGCATAGGTCCGAACTGTTAGGATCACTCCTTCGTCTTTGCTTGTGGAGCCATTGGTTGACCGGTAGTGACACGGATGCGATAAGCCATTGGAGACTCCGAATTTTAACAGGTCTTATTGATTTGAACTTCTTCCATGGGATTTGTGAGATACGGTCTGCCTCTTGTCCGATTAATTTTGACCATCTACTTCTGATTACGGGTTCCGGGTCCTTAGTCTTAAGGAATAGCTTATACCCCATTTTGACTGAGTAGTCCTGGATGTCCGTGTTAATGCTTGTGTTCCTCTCAGATGTCCAGGTCTTGGATTGGGGTGTCTATTCTGAAGATTGATTTGGGCCAGGAACATGCGACTCTTACTTTCCTGAAGAGGAAAATGTCTAAACTTGTTCTTTCCACATCTTTGTCCAAGATAGATGCAGAGCCATGAGCTGATGTCACGATTGGGTAGGATGTAAACACGGCAATGGTACTCGATCCCAGTTGTTTGTGGGAGAACTGGTATGCTCTCACGGGCGGTTGTTCCTGTATCCGAATTCCCCACTCTCCCGTTTTGCTTTTGGGTTCCCCTCAGCAGCTCTTTCCAGCCTTCTGGGAATACAGTTAATGACTGTCTGCAGATTCCTATCTCTCCGGTGGCAGCCCTTGAGACGAGGGATAAGGTCCTGATCTGTTACCCAGTCGTTTCTCTCTTCATCCCGTATGTGAGTGATCTTCCATACTCCATGTTTTATCCACGATAACCAACGCGTATCTCTTGGTTTAAGAGATAGCGAGTGATCACTTTCATCTCTCACCCACGGATTACCAAAGAGGGGTTGCCTCAGGAGTTCTTCCCTGGACCTAGGTTTGCCCTTTTTTTTCAGCATGATTTCTTGCCAGATCCGTAGCAGAGCTGCCCGATAGGGGGTGGGCGGGCTTGCTCCCTGAGGATTGCCCCCTCGTCGATGGTTTCTGCATCCTGTTTTCAAGGTCCATTCCTTATTCATCACCCAGAACAAGCTAGACATGTTTGCTGGTGTAGGTACCAGGGCTAGGCTTCTGAT